GATAGGTCTGCCTTTATATGTTACTTGGTCTTCTTCCTTTGCTGTTCTTAATATTTTCTCTTTATTCTGTAGGTTTGGTGTTTTGATTATTATGTGTCGAGGGGACTTCTTTTTGTGGTCTGTTTGGTGTTCTGTAAGCTTCTTGTACTTTCATAGGCATATCCTTCTGTAGGTTGGGGAAGTTTTCTTCTATGATTTTATTTAATATGTTTTCTGTACCTTTGAGCATTATTTCTTCACCTTATTCTATACCTATTATTCTTAGGTTTGGCCTTTTCACAGTGTCCAATATTTCCTGGATATTTTGTGTTAGGGATTTGTTGCACTTGAGATTTTCTTGGTCGATGACTGTATATCCTCTAGCGAGTCTTCAACAACTGAGATTCTCCCTTCCATGTCTTGAATTCTATTGGTTATACTCACATCTTTAGTTCCTGACCATTTATCCAGCCTTTATATTTCCAGCATTGCCTCATTCTGTGTTTTCCTTAATGTGTCTATTTCTGCTTTCATGCCTTGAACTGTTTTGAGTGCTTCCTTCACTTATTTGGTTGTTTTTTCTTGCCTTTCTTTAGATTCTTTAAGAGATTTGTTTATTTCTTGAATTTTTCTGGTTTGTCTTTTCCTCCATTTCATTTAATTTTTTGCTTGTTTTTTTCTTCTATTTCTTTAAGGGATTTTCTTGTTTCCTCTTTAAAGGTCTCTATTATCTTCCTAAGATAATTTTTGAAGTCCATCTCTTCTTCATCCTCCGTGTTGGCCTTTTCAGATCTTGCTGGTGTGGATTCCCTAGATTCTGGTGGTGTCATATTGGTCTTTCTGATGTTGAGTGTGTTTTTATTCTATCTTCTTTCCATTTCTTCTTCCAGTGGGTGCAGGTGGGGTCTCTCTATCTCTTCTTGTGACCCAGTATTGTGTGTGGGCCAAGACTTCAATATCCGCAGCTCTGGACGGTCTTGCCGCTCCTGGTAGTCTCCTCACTAGGTAGGGCTCAGACCTCGGTAGGGGTTAGGCAGGCGGAGGGTGAAGGAAGAGTGGGGTGTTTCCAGACTCAAGGAGATACTCCCTGGCTGGGCGGGTCCACTCCAAGCAGGTGCAGGCCCAGAGAGATCGGGGTGAATGGGACTTTGGGCAGGAGTTGGGCAAGAGCAGAGGGTACACTCACCTCGGTAGGGGTCAGGCCGGCCGATCTCCATAGATTTTTGCAAAGCATCTCTGGCAAAGTGTTTTCAGATGTCTGTGACTGGTCAGGAAACTGCTGTTGAAGTAGTGGCTTTCACATATCACTGTGTGGTGTGTAGGAAAGCACATCGGCTTTAGACATATCTGGCTCTGGCCTTGCCTCCATGGCTTATTACAGTGGCCTATGCATAGTACTTGGTGGAGGCAGTAATTAAAGATAATGTTTGTGTTAGGTCTTACTGTAGAACTGATGATTTAATTGACCTAGGGTGCCTTTACATCTGCACTTACCAAGACTCTCCAGCTGAGTCTACTTGTTTGAAACCCACTGACTGTGTGATGAAGAGTTCACTAAATGATTCTAAGCTTCAATTATCTATTTATTCACCTGAAAGCTTAAGTATCTCAGAGATAATATTTTTCTTACCTCTCTATCTCTCCAGTACCTAGAACTATTAGTACATACCTGTGTGCTCAGGATGTGTTGAGTCCATGAAAGAAGGGTCTCTTACATATTATACTATGTCTGAACAATTAGAAAATAATTTAATAAGCTCAACTATTCCCTTCTCCACTGTAACAGTTCCTTTCTGCATTGGGGGGGTCAAACAAACACCCAATAAAAGCATGAAAGAAGAGTTTATTTCATCTCTCAGTTTGCAGAGACAATCTACCATAGTGGAGAAGTCATGGTGGCTAGTGTTTGAGGCAGTTGGTCACATTGCATCTACAGTCAGGAAGCAGAAAGAAGGAAATGCTTGTGCTCAGCTGGCTTTCTTCTTTTTATTTGAGCTGGCACTCCTGCCCATAGGGTGGTGCCACCCACATTCAGGGTGGGTCTTCCCACCTCAGTTAACTTAAATCTCGATAACCTCTCATAGGCTTGCCCAGAGGTTTGTTTTTCAAGTGATTCTAGATCCTGTCAAGTTGACAATATTAACCATCATACTGACTGTAGGTGCTGAGTCAATAGTAAATGCTCAGTGAGAATTCTTGGCTTGTTGAGGAGTAGAGATATGTAGGGAAAAAGGAAATGCCTAAGATGGTGTGTTTCTTTTAGTAACCAACTCTGAGGAGATGTCTGTATACCCTGCCTGGCATTGCCTATTAGGTTCAAGAGGAAATTTTAGAATGTCTATCTTTTTATTTTGTAAATTAAAAAAATAATTAGGATTAATAGAGTTCAACTATATCGAACACCACAGGCCCATTGTTTGCGGGACACACTGTTTGCTATTGTTAGTTTGTTTTCATTCATACATTGAAAATAACTCTGAAATATTATAGTTATAGATATATGAATCATCATATCACAAAGAAGTGGCTTAAAATTCATTTTGCCTTATTTTTCTTTATTCTTCTGACTTCAGTTTCCCTTCCCTCCCCTTCTTCCCATACTTCCCCACCTCCCTTCTCCCCCAGATCCCCTGCTCCTCCATTTCCCTTCAGAAAAAAGCAGGCTCCCAGTGATATCAACTGAACACTGCATAGCAAGATACAATAGACTAGGCATAAATCCTCATATCATGGCTGGGCATGGCAATCCAGTAGGAGGAAATGGGGTCTCATGAACAGACAAAAGAGTCAGAGACAACCCCTCTCCCACTATTTGGAATATAAGAGAAATCCCAAGCTAAACAACCACAGCATGTAGCACAGTCTCATGCAGGCTCCATAATTGCTGCTTCAGTCTCAGCAAGCCCCTATGAGCACTGCTTAGTTGATTTTGTGGGAAGTGTTATCCTGGTGTCCTCAACCCCTCTGGCTCCTACAAGTCTTCCTCCCCATCTTCTACAGAGTTCCATGAGCTCCACCTAATGTTTGGTTGTGGGTCTCTGCATCTGCTCCCATCAGTTGCTGGAGGAAGCCTCTTTGGTGACAGTTGGGCTAGGCACCGATCTATGAACAGAGCAGAATATCATTAGGGATCATTTTGTTGACTTTTTTGTCAGTCATGTTTGGTTCTATCCTAGGTCTCTAGGCCATCCAGCCTCTGGTCCCCGGCTCTCTTGAAGGCAGGACAGGCTGTGGGTTGAATGCTTTGTAAAGGCTTGGTTGAAGTCCCAGTGTCACCACTGGAAGCTTATCATGGTTACAGAAGATGGCTCCATATCCTCCATTACTAGGAGACCTCTCTGGGGTCATCCTCATAGGTTCCAGGAAGTTTCCACTACACTAGATTTCCACATCACCCCCTAAATGCCACCCATTTCAGTCATCTCTCTCCATACTCTCTCTGTCCACCTCTTCTCCCCTCACCTAATCCCTCCTTTAGAGAAACAGGAATTATGGTGATTATTAGTAATGGAAGTACAAATTTATAACAAGGAAATTGCAAGTTGTCCCTTTATTTATACTAGTACATCATTTTAGTTAGCCAGAAGGAAAAACAGTGGTGACTGGGCCAAATCTGACAAGAGTACACCAAAACTTTCTGAAATAGTCAAGAAAACTTTATGAAACACTTATTTACATACCTTGTCACACTAACATAATTTTATGTAGATAATATGTCTTCAAGTACAAATGTCATGATGTTTGAAACATTAATTCATGTCCTTAAACATTTTATCTTTAAATTTTTCTATTTCTATATTTATTAAAAATAATTCTTTGAGGGATTGGAGAGATGACTTAGTGATTAAGAGCACTTACTGCTCTTGCAGAGGACCTGTGTTCAGTTATCAGCCCCCACATGGTGACTCATAACCATCAATAAGTCTCCGGTTCCTGGGCATCATAACCTACTCTGGCTTCTGCAGACACTGCACATATGTGATGTACTTATACACATGCACACAAAACATTGATGCACATAAAATAAAATACACAAATCTTCAAGCATGATGGCATATACTTGTAATCCCAGAATACTTATGAGATATAAGCATAAGGAGATCAGCCTGGGCTACTTAGTGAAAAACTATCTCAAAAATATTCTTGGTATAGTAATCTGTATATCTATATAAATTGAAACAAACATCTCTATACTTGTATATATTAAAAAACTATTTTGTTCATTGGAGAACGTATGCAGTGTTGCAGAGTATCATTCAAATGAACTTGTGAATTGTTCTTGTTGGGTTGGTTAGTATCATCATGTCTCACTGCTGTTCATATTTCTTCATGACCCAGGAGCCATCTTAGGAATGTGTGTTATTAGTCACCATGGTAATGGCACAGCTAAGAGGGGATGGGTCATTAAATATCCATCATCATGGGTGAGTTAGAAATGAACTCAGACCACACATCTTTCTGAGGTCAGGGATTCTTTTCTTTATAGAAAACAGCAACACTTAAAATAGAACAGAGTTTTGAAAATATATACCAGGGCATTACAGAACCATATGAGATTCTTAATATGTTTAGAGGTCAACAGAGATTTAGAAATTCACTCTGTTAATTATTTTGTTATTTTAACCTCACAATCACCTTGTGAAGCAGGGAGCATCCTCATTGTTTCAGAAGGAAAGATGATCAAGAAGGCTTAGTTGACTTGCCTGGGCTTACATATTTAGAGCTTATAGAAACAAAGTAAATTTTTAGATGATTGGTATTAATGAATATTTTGATTTTAGTTTCTGAAAGGCCAATAATACACAGGCATTGGATCAAGTCATTAGTAATTTGAAGGCATTCCCATTTGTAGACACAGGAGGCTGGAGGAAGGACTATGCCTTGGGGCCAGAACCTTCAAGCTGATTTTGGTGGTGTTTATTGACCTTGTATTATCCTTGCCAACAGTTCTCCAAAGGTGTTTTTCAGGGAATCAGATATGACCTAAACTGTAATAAATGTTTATTTTTCTCCTTTGACAGAACCATTGCCAACTATTTGGTGTGGAGAATGGTTTATTCCAGAATTCCAAACCTCAGTAGGCGTTTTCAATATAGATGGCTGGAATTTTCAAGGGTAAGTTAATGAATATCAAAATTTTTCGTACATGCTGGAACAGACCAAATATTAACCATTCCAGTAAAACAATAATCTAGGGATGGGATGCAGGGAGCTTATAGCCTAAACTCTTCTTTAAACATTTTTTGCATTAGTTCATTTCATTCAGGTATACCTGTATCCAATAAAAAGCACCCCAACCTCTACATTGTGGTTGTATAATAATATTTAGATTGATATTTTGGGCCATCAAATTTTGTTCAAACATCTCTCCTTCCCATCTCATATGTACTTCTTTTTAGTGCTTTTAGCTGAAATTATGGTTTTGAAGTTTCTTAATGATACATCACTTTCAAAGTAGTTCAAATTTTATTTTTACCTTTTCACTGGCAAACACATGTGGTAATTGTGTATATTTGCGGGGTTCAGTATGATGTTGTGATCTACAAATACATTATAGAAAATTCAGTCAAAATTTTGAACATATACACCATTTTAGCAATATATAGTCACTTCTGTGTTGAGAACATTAAGGGTCTATTTTATCAAAATTGAAATATGAAATTATCATGAACTATTATCATTTCACACAGTGTGACAGATGTTGCATAATCTCAGATATATGTGGAATATGAAATAGTCGATTAAAAAACGTTGAAAAGGAAGGTGGTTGGTTACCAGAAGTTGGAGGAGGGAGGCTGGGAAAGAGGAGATGTGCATGAAAGGATGCAGAAATTCACTTCTACTGGATGGCTCCAGTCTGACGATCTCTCACTGTAACTATGGTTTTCAAATGTTCTCCGTGGTCTTATTTATATATAGAGAGAATGTTCCAGCTTAATTTTTCATTTGGTGTTAGAATTGCGTCTTTAACTTTATTGAGACATTCTATCTTAAATCTATCCTAATTCTGCTAGACCTTTTTCAGTTTCTTCCCATTATATCCTCAAGTGGCTGAATCCGTTTTCTTTCCCCCACTTTCCTGGTCCTTGAGTCTTTGTTTCTCACCCATCTCTGTTGCCGCCCAACTTGCACAGACAGATGTTACTTTTATCTGCATTTCTGAGGCTTATGTCTAATTCTCTCACAGCTTAGAGAACTTAAGGCGTTTATGGCTTTAAAAAGTATTTTCTTTTTCTATCAATTTAAATCAAAGTGAATGTCAAATCTTTTAAGCTCTTATTTCATTTAGCATTCATTTTAATTCTTAGAGAAACTGGCAAATACACGAATTTATAGTGGACCATTGTACTTGGAGAGTGATACAGTTATTTGGGGCAACTTTTGACCCTTTATAGTCACTAGAATATAAAAAGTTACTTTATAGAGGCTAGATAAGCATGAAGCAATTACTTATATTTAGGCCATATCAAATAGTTAAGATAGAAAACAAGTAGGTATTTTTGCCGAGTGTGTATTTTTAACTCCTATGGATCACATAAAAGATGGTACCCAGCTGCTCTCCACCCCCACTGTGAAGAGAATGAGAGAGAGAGGTGTAAGAAGTGGTGTGTGAAAATTTGAGGTTAGGTATAAGGGGATGTTTCTTGAACATGAAGTGCTAAATATAATATTGAATTGCCAAAGGAGGTTGTAGGATTGCTTTCTCTGGAGGTTTTAAAAATAGCTTCATCCCTTACCTCTGAGAAGGGTCGTGTTCCCAGAAAGCAAAGGAAGGAGAGATGAATTTAAGCTTTAATCCCCTTTGCCCCACTCTAACAACCTGTCTCTAAAATTGTGTATGGGGTATTCTAGGCCACTATTCTCAGGGCCTTCCTCCCTCCCTCACTGTCTGCCTGCACCCTTCAGCCTCCAGAGAAAACTTACATGGCATTTATTTCTGTGCCTTCATCCCCAAGAGGAAACCTTGGCACTTTCAAATCCTGCTTTGGAAGTCCCTCACTTGTTTATGAATGTTTTCTTATAATAGTCTAACGCAGCAGATGGGAAAAGCATTTACATCTGTATTTTCCTCTGCTATGACACTGTGTAAATGGGCTCCCCAGGTTGTTCATGGTGAGATATGGTCTGCTGGTCTGCTAACAAGAACTTTGATTACCTACAATTCTAAAACTTCCCCGGTAGAACTGCAGTTCTCAGTAGATACTGAGTACTGTCTGAATCCTTGAACTGCATCCCTTTGTGTCCTGACTTGCTGCAGAAAAGCAATGCCATTCATTTCCTATATATTTTGCTTAATGGAGAAAATTGGAATAAAGGTGAAATGCATTGTTTTTCCACTGTCAAAACATTTTCATCTAGTTGTAGCCGGAAACTAGGGACAAACAGTTTTATTTTCTCCAACTGATTTCACCTTGGCCTTTCCTATCTTGCATGCATATGAGATGGGGTGGGGGAGTATTTTGAAGATTGCTTTCTTCAGATGGGTTGACTTTTTCTCCCCAACAATACATATTATTCAAACAAAGCTCAACTTGTATTGATTATTTTCCACAGGTAATCCAGGGGACTACCACTCTGCTGCCTCAGTGGGACAAATGTGTTAACTTTATCGAAAGTGCCCTCCCTTACGTTGTGGGGAAAATGTTTGTGAATGTTCACTTCCAGGAAGATAAGAAGGAGATGGTAAGTGGAGCTTCCTGGATGCTAAAGGCAAGCAAACAGAATAGTGGTCATCTAGGCACATCTGACAGATGTGATGATCCATAGTCTGCAGTCTACCTTTCAGGGTGTAGGGATCCACAGATGTTCTCTTCCGTTTTTTTTTTTTTTTTTTTTTTTTTTTTTTTTTTTGCATTTTTCAGGGAAACGGGAATAAAGGTCATCAAATGTGAGGTGGTGAGTAGATACTGAAAGTTTGAAGAGTGAGAATGTATGCAATAGCTGTCCAAAGGAGTGGGTCAATGGAACTAAGGACATTTGGTATGGCTGCTTAGAGCCAGGTAAAGTCAGAGTCTAGGTGAGGTTCAAGGTCATGAATTTAGAGATATTTGTCACCATGGTTACATGTTCTTCTCCATCTGATTCAGCTGCTTTGAAGGAGAGGATATGTATTTTTCTTTCTTTCATCTTTACTGAGGTCCATTTGACAGATAAAAATTGTATATACTATAGGTATCTAATATGACGATTTGGTACACACTGTAAAGTGATTACCACAGTGAGATAAGCTCATCCATCACCACACTGACTGTTTTGTTTTTGTCTGTGGGATGGTATCGGGTGACACTCTTTCTAGGGAGCCATGAACAAGTGTCTACTCACTCCAGATAGGGAACTGACAACATTCTGAAGCAATGACACCACCGAAGTGAACCAATGGAGTTTCACTGGGGTTACTTATAGGTGTATGCGTGAGGGGTTACTTAGAGGAGCAGGAATGACTGAAAGGCTACTTCATCATGGGCAGCTTCTCACAAAGTGTGGAATAGTGGAGCTCACTGCATGAGATGCATGCAGCTTAACAGCTCAGAGTGTCTGAGACAGTCCCCTCATCTGTGCCTCTTCCATGCAGCTTGGCGGTTCTCTGTCCTTCAAGTAGCTTGTCTGGCATCTGTCTTCTCAGCATTCCTTACTGATTACGTAAGCTTAGGGAGGGGCCGAGTGTACCTTGTCAGTTTCAGGAACTTCTCCAGGTTTCTGAGTTGTTTATTTTTTGAGTCCTAAGGAGCCTCTGTTTAAAATTTCCAGGTTTAACAAACCCCCTGCCCCTAACAAAAAACAACTTCTCACATCTTAATGGACTTTGAAAGAAATTGGTACACAACATATAGACCCTTAAATATGTACTGTCATAAAATTTGAAACATATAACACATTGTGAGTAACTAAAGTCATCATACTGTGCATAAGATCATTGGCACTTATACATCTTAAACATTCTTATGTGAAAGTTTGAACCATTGACCAATATCAGCCAACTTTACCCCCTAATCCTCCATGTTCTGCTGCTGACATCTACTGTTACAGTCTCTTTATCTAGGAGTTCCATTTTTTTGTTTTTGTTTTTTTTTTTTTTATTCCACTTGTAAATCTTTTCTATCTTTCTTTGGCTTATTTCACTTAGCACAATGTTCTCCAAGTTTATCTATGTTATTGGAAAAGATAGGATTTTCTTGTTTCATGGTTAAGTAATACACAGACTCACACCAATTTTCTACCTATTTACTCACTGATGATGGACTAAGTTGATTCTGTATCTTGGTTATTAGGAAAAATGCTGCAATGAATACAGGATTTAGCTGACTCTTAGACGCTGCTTTTATTTTCTTTGGAAATATAGCCAGTAGTAGAATGCCTGGATTGTTATAGTAGTCTTATTTTGAATTTTCTGAAGATCCTTTATACTATTTACAGTGATGGCAGTGCCAATTATTATTTAAAGCAGCACTGTACAAGGCTTTTTTATTTTTATGCATTTACCTCTTTTGACTTTCACAGTAGTTCTCTTAACAGGCATGAAGTGCAATTTCACTGTGGTTTTGACTTTGATTTCCCTGACTAGTGACATGTAGTACATTTTCATACCTCTTGGGTATTTGCATATCTTTGGAAAATGTCTATCCAGTTCTTTTATTCATTTTAGTTAGGACATTATTATTGCTACCTTTGCTATTAAGAGTGTATTTTTTACTTGTAAGTTTGAATTTAGTCACTTATATGTGGATTTTCTTTGTACAAATTATATTTTACCAAGGACAGTAAGCAAAATATTCATATGTGATTCACAGATAAAGCACTGCATTATCAATCAGATATAAACATGAACATATTGCATAGAGGTAGTATAGAACCATTGAGTTTAATGGCAAAGACATAGAGTATTTAAACCATAGTGGTTTAAATGATTGATGTTATATAGTGATAATAATACCAAATGGTAGGTATTATGTATCCTGTACTAGAGTTTACTTTTAACTACCACTAATCTAAATACATTCTTCTTTGTTAATTTGTTATTACTGTCTTTAGGAAATTTATGTCAAATTTGAGACCCTATTTATTTTTTAAACAACAGGCCTCTTTCAAATAGGTCCACCAAGAAACAAATGGTTTGTTTTAAAATGCTCGGTATCCTTAAATGTTTTCATTTGCTCTTTGGCCAGAGTAAACAAATGGAAAACACATCAAATGGTCACAGTGATAACACTAAAATACCAAGAGAATGTAAATACAACAAATGAGTAAAAGAATCTATATAGTGGGAGAGCTTTGACAGACAAATTGTAACTAATATGAAAAGTAGTACATTTATTTTTCTCAATTTTGGTGCACATGTACTCTTTTCATGTCTCAGGCTATGACATTCTAAAATAAGTTGATTTTGGCACTTTCTCCATTTATTTTGATATACACGAGGATAATATGTTAATCACATAGATATTCATTGCTTTTGTGTAAAATTATTTGCCTCCTTTATGCCCAAACTATTTGTCTCAGGGGATTCTTAAGTTGGAAACTTATAAGAGGAAAAAATAATCTGGCTTTTTATAGCCTTGCTTCAGGGATCTCATCCAAGAACCACCTGGAAACTCTGATGGACTTGTTAAAAAAAAACTGTATTATTAGCCTCAGTCAAAAGAAAGAAAGAAAAAGAAAAAAGAAAGAAAAAAACTGAAAGAGCCACATTGGGGCGGATTCCAGAAAGTCTAATTTAGACTGAAAACTGCCATTGTTTATTTACCAAGAAGAGTTTGTCTAAAGCAAATGAATATCAGAAGGTTAAAAACTTTAGCTACTTCTCAAACCTTAGCATGGGAACAAATCGTATGGCCTTTGTTAAAATGCAGAATCTCATTGCAAGATGGCAAACTCACTACATTTTAGCAAAGGTTCTCTTTAACTTGGTTCAGCCAAGGACCCCAATTTCTAGCAAGTTCTCAATCCATGCTGCTATTGTACCACACTTTGAGTGGCAAGTCCCTCGCCTCACTCACTAGAAAACAATTATCACTCAAAACAGAAGCCCTAGCGACTGACTCACCGAAGCAGGTCAGGCCAGGTCAGTTGACTTGGACAGCAACACTTTGTTTACTCATAAAGTAATCGTGTGAGTAATGCTTCAGTTTTCAGTCCCTGAAACCTCAGTGATTGAGATTGTGTCAAATCCTGTATTCTGGACTTGTGTCTTACCTTACTCCTATATAATTTACCCATAAAAAATTTTAACTACTTAATTTGCCCTTAAAATTAGTAATTTTTTTATAGGGGACTCCTGTTGTTTAAAGTTTCTTGAGCTTCGCCATGGCAGTGTTGGCCTAATGGCCTCTGGTTGATAGCCTCTGATATTCCTATTAACTATGGTGGCCGAGAGGGAGCCAGCAATTTATTTCAAGGATTCTTTGCAGAGGAAACGCATCTTCCTCCTCATCACCTTCTGCTGCCCTAGTTCTTTGCCTCTTCCAACCCACTGATCTACTAGTGTTGTCTGTTTTTCTTCTCTGGGGGTGGTGGTGGTGGATAATTGCACATTACTGTTTCCTGTGTTCTAAGTGCATGTATACCTGGGTATATGCAGGCACAGTAATGCAAGTCCCTGTTCGTTCACTCACAGAACTCACAAGGATTTTAGCCAATGTAATTAGCAATGGGACAAACAGGATATAGAAAAAATGAGAGTCTTTCAACACAGAGCCATCTAAAGAGGTGAGATCGAATAACCTCCTGCTGTTCAGAGAATGGGACAAAACTGTTAGCTGTAAGCCTTGCTTGCATTGTACCTAAAGGACCGGCCTGTGGAGGGAGGGAAAGTTCAGGGAGACCTCTTTTTTGTTTTCTTGTTTTTTATTTTTTATATATTTGAATTACAAATAAGATTGAATTACATGACAATCCCAGTTCCCTTCTCCCTCCATTCCTCCTCCACCCCCCCACTAAAATCCTACCTATCATATGTCCTTTCTTCTAATCTATAACTTATTCAAAAGTTCTGCTTCCTCATGACCTCTGCATCCTTCCTTTTCTTTCCTTCTCACTCTCCCTGCTTCCGCCCCCTTCTTCCCATGTTCTCAATTTGCTCAGGAGATTGTGACCCTTTCCCCTTCTCCAGGGGACAAAGTTTGTCTCTTTTAGGGTCTTCTTTGTTTACTAGTTTCTCTGGCAGTGTGGATTGTAGGCTGGTAATCTCCTACTCTATGTCTAAAATCCACATATGAGTGAGTACATATCACGTTTGTCTTTTTGTGATTGGGTTACCTCGCTCAGAATGGTTTCTTCTAGTTCCATCCATTTTCCTGCAAATTTCAAGATTCCATTGTGGTGTTTTTTTTTTTTGTTTGTTTGTTTTTTTTTGCTGAGTAGTGCTCCACTGTGTAAATGTACTACATTTTCTCTATCCATTCTTTGGTTGAGGGGCATCTAGGCTGCTTCCAGTTTCTGGCTATTACAAATAGTGCTGCTATGAACATCATTGAACACATGTCTTTGTTGTATGAATGTGCTTCTTTTGGGTATATGCCTAGGAGTGGAATTGCTCAGGGAGACCTCTTTTGACATTGTTGTCTTTGTGGTCTGAATTAGCACCACCCAGCAGAACTAGGATATGATATGCATATAAGTTTAAGTTTTCTAGGGATTACGTTTAAAAAAATTAATGGGCTGGCGAGATGGCTCAATGGGTAAGGCTG